TTCAATATTGGTTAATGTAAGTATCTTTGTTGCTTGTATTTAGAACCCTTATGGAATGATTGCTTCTCAGAGGTGTCTTCCAGATACAGCTGGTCTTTAGGTTTTGAGTCTCTAATGACTCTGAGGCTGTCTCATTTTCAATATACCAGGAAGGAAAACAGTTTAGATCAGTCAAGACACCTTAGCCCAAGTGATACGATCAGCAACACGATAGCATCGAATACCTCTTAGAGAATGACAATTTGTGGTAGTTATTAGTCTATCACCTTTAAAAAATACAGGGCCTCCTTCAGGGTATGTCTCTGCTGTCACCATAGACAACGTGGGCAGCAGTGTGCAGTTATAAGTCAATGAGTCTCAGTAAGGTAGTCCCAGCCCCATGAGATTCAGGCAGATTTCTGGTTGCAAGTCCCAAGTTGAGCTCCCTGTCCTCCTGCAGGGTTGCACTCTGCAAGTTTCTACTGCAGGTTTCAGCTGCTTTTCCTCTGAAGAAAGTCCAGCTTCTGATGGGAGCTGATAATCCCTCCAACTTATCAATCACAGTGGTCTGGTATGCCTTTATTGCAGAGATTCCCTTCACTTTTCCAGTGGGCTTGTTTTCATCAGGGAGCCTGAGACAGGCACTCTCTCTGTCGTTCACTTCTGGAGCTCAGGACAATGGCTTTTATGTCCCCCTGTGGCTCTTCAGTGTGTAACCAAGTAGCTGCACAGCCAAAAGGTCAGAGGCGGGGGTGGGGGGGATCGGGTGCTGTTGGAGGTGCCTGCATGGCCAAGCCATCAGCTGGTGGGCCTGCGGGTGGGGTGGGGGGGTGTTCCCTCATCACCCTGTTCTGGTGGCGAGCTGGTGGAGCAAGCCAGAGCAAGCAGGTACAGATCAGCCTGCAACTGCTCGGCCCCACTCAGCCCCGCCCAGCTCCGTTTGGCTGAGCCATCAGCTGGTGGGCGTGCCTGGGCGGGGGTCCTCCTCACCCTGTCCTGGTGGAGTATTATTTTAAAAATTGAAAGATCAAGAACACAGACTCCTTGATAATCTTTAGTTGAAGTAAATACAAATACAACACTTGTGGTAAAAGAAAGCATCATGGGATAAAAGGTGTAAACTGAAAAACCTTAAGTCTCAAGTGGATTCTCTGATTCAAAATATAGAAATAAATGATCTACTCCAGGTAATTAGCATTTTTCCTCTTCTTAAACATTTTTCATTTCTTTCTATTTGAAAAGCTTTGAACTCTTCTAGTTCTTCATAAAATGTATTATAAAATTTTGTGAATTATATTCGCTCTACTGTGTATAGAATATTAAAATTAATTCCTCTCATCTGTGTGTTTCACTTATTTTTACTGAATATTAGTAACAGAATACTCATGCTTATTTAGAAATATCAGTATATGCATATGAGATACTTTGTTTATTTTCAACCTAATACCCTGGTCTTTTTCTACCTCCCATCCCGTTCCCTACCTCTAAATGTCCATCCTGTAGTTTTCTATTATCTCTCATTCCTTCCTTCCTTCCTTTTTTCCTTCCTTCCTTCATTCATTCATTTTTAGAGTTCTCATGTAAGTGAAAACGTGATATTTAACTTTCTGGGTCTGGCTTATTTTAGTTAACATGATACTCTACAATTTTGTCCATTTTCCGCAAATGACATGATTTTGTTCCTGACAGCTGAATAATATTCTATTGTGTATATATGTATATACCACCTTTCCTTTATCCATTCATCTGTTGTTGGGCATCTATGCTGTTTCCACAGCTTGGCTATTGTGGATTGTGCCACCATAAGTATCAGTATAGTATGCACTCTAATTCTTTTGGAAATATATCAAAAAGTGATATAGCTGCATGAAATTATAGTTCTATTTTTAGTTTTTTAAATTCTATGGTGGCTGTACTATTTTATATTCTCACCAGTAGGGTAAAAAGGATTTTTTCCCCACCATTCTGGCCAACATTCATTGTTTTTTGTATTCTTGATAATAATCATTCTGACTGGGGTGAGCTGAAATCTCAGTGTAATTTCTGTTTGCATTTCCATGATAGCTAAAGATGTCATACACCGTTTTCGTGTACTTACTAGCCAGTTGTTCTTGGAGGGTACCTATCATCCATTCTCCTTTAGTCTCCTCTTTCTCCACCCTTCCTAGCCTATGGTGATCTATTCTCCTCTATTTCTATGAAATTAACATTTTAACCTTCCACGTAAGTGAGAACATGGAGTATTTATCCTTCTGTGCTTGACTTATTTCACTTAACATAATGTCTCTTAATAGCGAGATTATATGTGGGATTTTCTACTCTTAGAATTATAGTAAATTGAACTTTGAATTATTATTGGAAAGTAACACATTTTTGGTGGTAATGAAAACACGTAAGCAAATATCAAGAGAGGGGGAACATAATAAAATATATGCTCCATTAACTTATTTGAAAGCCAAATAGACATCTTTTCTATCTTCACTGTTATTCTTACCTGATAAAATGTTTTGGTCCTTTCTGCAAAGACTGCTTTGTCTGCTCTCTTGTCTTTACTGTAAAGAGAGAAACAGCTGCTACAGTCTAAGGGCACCTCATGATGTTTTGTATGTTCTTTTTTTATTTGAAAATCTTCAAATGCCAGTCCTCAAAGGCCACTGAGGCCTCACAGCTGACCTGAACCTTGTACATGTCTCCTCCATCCAGGATGCAATCTAGAATAAAAACAGGAAGAAAGTGATTGTACTAATTGAGCTATATTAACAGCTATTAATGATTTTCTGTAACTATGGAATACCATACTACATAATAGACACTGTTAAAAGTAGTGCTCATTAGATCCTTACAAAAGTCCAGCATTCTAAGGCTTCTATTAAGTCCATATTATGCATGAACAAATTGGGGTTCAATCCTAAGTAGAATGAATATTTACACTCTGGTAATTGTAATGCCCAAGCCAAAAAACCATCCAGTCAAACCCATAAGTCTATGGTATTGTGTAAAGTTATGCTTCATTTTAGCAGTTGATTGCACATGATTAGCATTATTGAGAAAACATCATTAATTTCTTTATTGATTTCATGATTGATTCTCTTAAAAACCTATGTTAGACTGGGCCGAGGGTTTAGCTCAGTGGTGCCACCGCCTCCCTCACAAGTTCAAGGTCCTGAGTTTGATCCCTGGTACCAAAAAAGCCACAAAAACAAAACAAAGCAAAAAAACCCTATGTTAGGACATGATAGCAAAGAAGGTTGAGGTGTAGCATGTATGTTTGTGGCCAGAGTTTTCGGAAGGCATGCACCTGTGCAGTTGAGTGTGTCATGAAATATGTGGGAGAAAAACTCATTAACTAACATCCTATTATTAACTACAATTAGATAATAAACTAGTTGTCCATCTAGGGAATTTAAGTTGGTTAGTATTTGTGAAGATGTATATAAGTAAATGATGTTATTTTTGATGAGCTAATTAAATTCTAAATTTTTTCATAAAATTGGAGAATTATAAAAGATGTCTCATAGAAAAGTCTTTGTGTCCAAGAACACAAGCAATTAAAAAAAATAAAGTCATGACTCATTGAAGTCAAAGGAAAGATCATTGTGCCCAATTTCCATGGAGTTATCCATCAAATTTGGTGCGAGGCTCTTGTCTTCCTGCCCAATGCAGACAGAGAAAACAGCCTAGTTTAGTTCTTTTCTGTGTGTTTTTGTCCTTAACCATTACTAGTTTATGTGATATTTAAAAGAAGTTCAGCAGAGCATGGCGGTTGCCATTTGTGACACAGGCTTGTTGTTTATAGACAGATTGGAGGAAACTTTTTGAAAAAATGCACTTAAGTATTTTATCCAACTAAGGATTTTTTTTTTAATTAAAGAATCTGAGAGAGCCAATTTGTTAGATATTAAGTGGTTCACAAGATTTAAGTTTCTTACCCATGTAACAAACCATATGGACACTGTGTCTTAGATTACTAGGAAGAAAGCAAAGCAAACTGAACTGACAAAGACAGACTAGGTCTTCAGGTTCAAGCTGGACACTGCATTGAGCAGAAAGCTGCCATAGATAGTCATTGTCTCCCTTACAGAAATGTATGGTATATCATGAACTTTGAAAAATTGCAAAGCTGATCAGCATACATGACATCACAATTTCCAGGAGACTCACAGATCTCATAAGTGGTTCCATTATTTCTGCAGCCCAAGAGGCATGTGACTCCAGATGTCTTCAAACTATCATTCTTTACTTGGCTTGTGGTTCGACGTCAACATGAATATGAAGAAGACAAAGAACTCTCAGGATAATGATGGGTCCATTAATTCCAGATGTCTCCTAAAAGATTTGGGAATGTAGCCAAAGACTTGATAATTTTTAGTAGCAGTTAGTTGCAATACAGTGTTCTCTCTTTACTAAAACATTGCTGATGTAAATGTGATATCACAAATAAAACATATTCTAACATCCTCCCTCTAAGCCCTGCAATATCAACATCAGAAATTTTAGTAGTGTCATTAAAGTTTCAGTGATGATGCTTATTTTGTGCAAAAAATTTTAAATATATGGAAGTTACTTCGTATAATTTTGTTAATTCATATATTAAATAATTAACAAGCTACTGTTAATCACACTATCATGACAAATTAAACATTTATGTGTATCACATCAATTGGATTTATTTTTAGGCCATTATTAAAATAAACCTGTTAGGTACTTCAGAGCCCCACAGAGCAAGGCCCCTCCTCTCCTTTCCCCCTGCCCCACTCCGGCCACAGGGAACAGGGAACTTCCCCATAACTAAGGCCTGACCTCTCTTTGTCAGTGACTCTCTGCCTGGTTAAGGTCTTTCTGCCCCACCGGTTCCATGGTCAGATGTTCCAGTGAGACAGGGGCTTCCCGAAAGTGGTGACTCCATCCCCGTGACGGAAACCTACTGTTACCTACCCCAGCCCCAATCCCCCGCCCCCACCAGTGGCCCAGTGCTCTCCCACCTGCAAGACACCTGCATAAGCTTCCAGCTGAGCCCATGAAGCTGCTGGTCTCCATTCTGTGAGTCAGCCCCGCAGGCTGCAGACTGCGCCCCAATAAAGCTTGCTGGAACGTCCGTGTGTGCCCCCTTCTTCGGCGAGCCTTTCAAAACCCAAATCTTAGACAGCTCTATGATTCATACGGTAGAGCCCCAACCCTTATGCCTCTCTTCACTTTTAATCACCCAGACAGGGGCACAAGCAATCCAAGTAACACAAGGTTCACCTGCTTTCCCGTACCCGCTAGTACATGCTCCAGTAAACAGTTTAACCTCAGCTCTCTTGACTTTGCCCTGATAGGCGATCAGCCCCGAGTGCAGCCTTTCTGCTTTGCGCTCCCAGAGGAGCCCACTTAGGCCTCAATTCTCCTCTGGTCTTCCACAGTTCATTTGGTGTTTTTTCACTGCATTCCTTGCACAACAGACATATTTGCAAACAACATTCCTGTTACACACTAATCTTAAGATGTTCTTAGATCAACAGATATTTTAATGCTTTTCTGCTTTTGTTGAATCCATCAGAGATTTGGCCACTAGTGATTTAACTGCTTCTGTTATGTCCCAGTTTTCCTTCTTGCCACTCCTGTGACCTTGTAAACTTTTGTTGTAACTTTCCAAAATTTTATTTAATTTACTTCTCATCTTTACTTTCTTAGGAATATATTCTGTTTCACCATTCCAATGATTTATCCCTATGTGCGTTCATCCATTGTTTATCATGAGGTCATTATCACTCTAATATTTACGGACCATACTATGCTGTTTCTAGTTTCCTTCAAAAATTAATATTCTAATCTCATAAAAATTTTACTGATGAAGGCAGAAAAAAGGCTAACAATAATGTAGCATATGTATTCAATTCTTTTTAACCAGAATGCTTTCTGTGAAACATCTACTTCTTAATGTTGCACCCTACTGTTCTGATTATTATCTAGTACTTAAAATTGATAAAGCATCACAATTCATTCAGGAGGAAGAATTTCAAATTTTTAAAAAATGATCACTTTGATGATATTAATGTTCTAACAAGATGATGAAATGTAACAAAGATGAAATTATCTCTTTTCCTCATAAATCCTGACCAATAAAAAGTGCGGCAATATATTTCTGAGTACCAGTGAGATACTTGTCCAAGCTCAAATGTGGAATAAGAACAGCACTACAGAGATAAAAGTGAAACAAGTGTTAACAATTTGCTGAACTGTCTCCCTGAAGGATGATTCAGTGGTACAGAACTGCAGTAGACAATTTTTACCGGAAAGCAAGGAGGTGGGGGAAATCTAATCATGTTTTCTACCCATTTTATGAAATCCTTCGGCTGCATACTTTTTTATATGACAACCAGACCATGAAATAAGCTGGAGGCATTTGTGAGAGTTTCAGCACCCTGGGGGAGGGAAGGGAAGGTGGACATCCTACTCCCAGTTACTCTGTGAGCCAGACATGACTGGAGAAAGGCCCTTCGTGGTAACAGCTGAATAAGAGAGAGTTCTGTCTGGCACATGGGTCTGGATCAAAGCCAGCTTCATGGAGAGGCCCTTTGCTGTCACCCAGGGGAGGAAGGCACTTTATGGCCACAACCAAAGAGATCACTTACAACACATTGGGAAGGCCTTGTGGTTTAGACTTGGCTTTGCTGTTTCAGCAAAGATCCATGATCAGCAGTGGTGGCCACAGATAAGTCTTCACACTAGGAACAGGACAGAATCACCACTCCTATGGAGTCCACATCATATTAGGGAGGAGAAACAACAAATAAACATGCCAATAAACATATGCTGTCTTGGGGCCAGGGATTTAGCTTAGTGGTTCCGCAGCCTGCCCTGCAAGCACAAGGACCAAGTTCGATCCCCGGTACCAAAAAAAAAAAAAAAATGTGCTATCTTAGAGGATATAGTCTACAAAGAATATATATGGCAGGGCAATGAGATAAGAAGTGACCTTCAGCAGGGGTTGGGTGAAGGAGGCAACTGCAAGTGGCCAGAGAGACAGGCTGTCTGCACAGGTGTCTCCAGACCTGGTATCTAATTAATGAGAAGACTGACCGCACCATGGGAAGATGCAAGGAGATGGGTCATGATGGATGATTCCATGATCCTAACTTAGGATCAAGTAAGTGCTTTGTAAATTTCCCCATTGATTGGGCTGCAAATTAAAACATGTGCATGAAATCTTGGAAAGTTTTCATCTTAAAGTCTACAGAAGATGTGCAAATTATTTGAATCTAATGTCCCTTCTGGAGAACACTTTCTGTTGGATATCTACAGTAAATTACACAAAGAACATCTCCTAATACTTACTAGGAATTGACTGCTATAGCTTGAGGACAGCTTGTTCTAGGTTGGCAAGATGATGATGATGATGATGACGACGACGACAACGACGATTCCCTTAACTATAAGTTCCCTATGTTCTCCTCCATTCCTGACCTTCTGTAGATTCTTCAACTGTCTTAACTGGCCTAATTCACCCCCTTCTTGAGAGGTACAAGTGTTGACATTTGTCAGTACCAAGGGCTTTTAGGCTTGATAATGATCTATCATTCTTCTAACCTAAGAGTGCTTATGAAGCTCAAAAAAATTTGGAAGAGGAGAAATATTATGTCAAATTTTTTAATGGGGTGGGCTCCAGGTTAACTTTTTAAGTTAACAATACAATTAGAAAATATCTAAAATTATTTTAACTTCTAATTATGGTAGATTATTTAAAACATGATTATTTAAAAAGCAGGCATAACTGCATTGTCAATGGCAGGCTATGTATTGCAGACTAAACTTTCGTTTCTAAAGACCTTAAAATCTAATGGTGAGAATGTTTGCAAAAATAAACCTGTAAAATATGCTGGATAAAATTATCCCTACATTCAGTATTTTTGGTTGCTTTTTGTAGAGGATACATTTTGGGAAGTAGCATAGACTAAGCATTAAAGAGAGGCTGAATGAAATTGTCTATTTTTACTCAAAGGCAGAATAAAGGAAATAGATATGACAGATAAAAATGCTCTGAGGGAAATTTATAATATAAATATTTCCTCCCTTCTTCCCATATGAGTATATTTTAATCATCCAAGGTCAGTTCCGAAGGTCTAATGTATCCATACCTGGCAAGTGGTGAGTACTTGGTAAATGTTTATAGAATGAATGAGAGTGAGGATGGAGCGCCATCAATAGCACTTGCATTCCAGTGTGTTGATGTTGACAGGAGCCTGCGACAGCCAGTAAAGACAGTAGGTGAGGATCAATATATGAACTGTATACTTGGTGAGACTGAATGGGGAATGTATCATATGCTAGTGCCAGGATGGAATAGAACTCAGGAACTAACCTAGGGAGATGCTGGATCCCCTGCACAGATCCACCAGCTGAGTGGATGATCTCTTGCTGGTGTCTCTCCTTGCTGAGTTATTAGAGTGGGAACTGTGAGAGGTGGGCCAGGAGAGACAACAGCCCATCTGGAAGCCAGAACTGTGTACCTTGAGCAGAGCAGGTCATTCTCTCCCCATGTTACCCCTTCAATTGGTGATGGCAACCCTGTTTACATGGGAGGGTCTTGGAAAGGATTCCCAAGAAAGGAAGATACACAAATGGCCTCACAGACATGCTGTGTCTGAGGATATGAAACCTCACATCTCCAACCACATACCCAAGGATTCCTTTTTCTTGTACCCTCATTTGAAAAGGAGAATGAGGCCAGGAAGAAAGTCTATCATTTTAACTGGAACCATACACATAAAGGTAAAGAGATAAGTCCTCTTCTTGACCAACATTTAGAAAACAAGGAAAGTTATTTTAAAATGAATCTTAACCTAATGAAAAACATGGCAATAACATTTTCACAGACATACCACCAAAGAAAAGATAAATATGGAGAATAAACACCTAAAAAGATGATAGGTTATCACTAGTCATTAGGGTAAAGAAAATTAAATTCTCAATAAAATCACACTAGATTGGCTCAGATTTGAAAACTGACAGTATTAAGTGTTGACAAGAAGGAGGGTAACTTGAACTCACATACCTAGTTAGTGGCAAGGCAAAATGGGACATTTGAAATCAACTTTCTCTTGTAAAGTAAATATGCACTCACCATATGATCAAGAAATCCCATCCCTAGACAAATACCTGAGAAATAAATACATGTCCACACAAAGGCCTGTGCACAAATATTGATAGCTTTTTTTGTAATAGCCCCAGACAAAATAAATCCAAATGAACATTGATTGATAAATGAATAAAAAATGGTGATGCATTTATACAATAGACTACTTACTAGTCAGTAATAAAAAAAATAGTCATTCATATATGCAACCATATAAAATCTCAATTGTATTGAGACAAAAGGTAAGACACAAAAGGCTTAATACCATGATTCTGCTTAAAAGCCATCAGAAAAAGGCAAAAGTATAGAAACAGATATATATCAGTGGTTATCAGGGGCTGGGAGTAGTGGGAGAGACTGACTCTAAATGGGCACAAAGGAAATTTGGGGGTGATAGAAATAGTTTGTGTCTGTTGTGGTTATATTTAAATGATTGGATATAATTGTCCAGATACATCAAAATATACATCTAAAAGGGTGAATTTTATGTATAAATTATACCTTAATAAATCTTGATACTTTATTTTTTAAAAAGAGAGTCACGTATTTCAGACAGTATGGTTCACATGAAACAAGCCGTCCTTTAAAACAGATCAGAATTAGTTGACTAAAAATAACACCTAGTTCATATCACATCTGAGAATAATTTGTTCTTTATGAGGACAACAGAGCTAGTTAATGCTCTCAAGTGGGAAAGTGAGTTTATCAAGCAAACAAGCAAACATTTCCAATCTGTATTTTGACTGTGAAATAAAACCAAAGAACTTCTGATAAATTTAGGACCAGTAGTTTATATTTTATAGGTAGTAACAAGAGATAGAGTTGACAGGTTTCTCAGAAGACTTTTCATGTGACATTTAAAAAATAAATTGAATTCTAAAATAACCTCTTGTTCCTGATTTAATCTTGTTTTGTTTACCACAGCCTTAGTGCCAATATATAGGTACACATTTGGTACAGCCTATTGGTATTTATATATTATATTTGTGTTTATGGCACAGTATAGCCTATTGTGAGGCTAGCACATACCTACCTGGGGCAGAGAACC